AAAAAAAAAAAAAAAAAAAAAGGAAAACTCAAAACAGACTAAATTCGAAGTTCTGAGACATACAAGAACAGCGTCGTCTTCTTCCAGGAGCCTCTGTACTCCAGTTGACCATTAACCTTCCTCAGGCATAGACTCATCCACAGAGGTTCCTCATTGCACAGTATATACATCACACTGCACACCAAACAACCAACCGAACATACAAATTAGATTGATAAAAAAAAAAAAGAAAAATTGAGGATTAATTGATCAAGGAAGAATGGCAGAACCTGCTAACACAAGCCAAGCGAGCAACATCGCGAGGAGTGAGGCACTCCAGAATGGCGCAGATAAGTTCGTCGGGGAGAACTTTGAGATCGCCGAGAGCGTCGGGCCGGCGATCTCTGAAAGTCTGCGATTGGCCAGAATTCTCCATCGATGCGTTTCGAGATTTCCCTTCTTCAGATACTTACGGATGGCAAAAAGATTGGAGAGATTGAAAATGAGCGAAACGGAAAATTCTTTGCAGTAATCGGCGTAGATTTTTAAATATTAGCTTGAAGAAAACGCGGCGAAGCTCCACGCGTGCTGTGTTTCTAGTGCGCGGTATTAGCGTGTGCGGGAGATTTGTCTGCCTTTCTTCGTCTTCTTATTTTTATTTTTATTTTTATTTTTTCGAGAAAAACTGGGTCAGGATGATCAGATCAGAGTGGACCTCAGCTGGGCCATAATCTTTTGGTGAGTCAGGCCAGAGAGCGGCTATCGTTGCCCCAAATCAGACCCAGTGAATAAGAAAGCCCAGTCACGTGTAAACTAAATGCAACCTTGGGCTCATTAAAAAGTCTCGTGGTCTCGAACCTGTTTTTTTCTTTAATGGTAATTGGTAACGGAGATTCTGACTTAACACAATATATTTAGGTTATAAAATAGAAATTAGTGGTTATCTTCTCAACGTCATCTTCGTTTGTTTTAAAATTTAAATTTAAAATTTTTAATATAAAAATTAAAAAATAATTTTGAAATAATTTTTTTGTATAATCTTTTGGTATAATATAACATATCATTTAAATATTTTTTTTATCTTGGTTGCACAATGAGAGACAATTATCTCATATCTTTTATTTCATCTCACTTGCATGTCATACGACTCGAATTTAAAACCTTTTACTTCCAGTAAAAAGAGATAATCACTGAGTTATTTAAGTCGTTGACCGTATTATTTAAATAATTGATTCTTTTTATTTATGTGAGATTCACGATTTAAATGCATCAATTTATTTAATGACATATAAAAATTGTATAAAAGAATGTATAAAAAAAATTATTCCTATAACACCACCCATAAGAATTTAGGTTTTTCAACCCTAAGATGTCTTTATTTTTTCTTATTTTCGTCTTCTTATCTTTATTTTTTTTTTACGAACGTCTTGA